ATCTTCATCTTCATCTTCATCTTCATCTTCATCTTCATCTTCATCTTCGTCTTCATCTTCATCTTCATCTTCATCTTCATCTTCATCTTCACCTTCATCCTCATCATAGAGTTTGTTCAAAACCATTTCTTTTGATACCCATATTGGGATACTTTATTTATTTTAATAATAATTTATTTTAATAATAATGTGGCAACCTTTTTAAAAATTAAAATCATATTACACATGTAGAGGTCAAGCCATTTCATTTGACACATCATCTTTTAAAATCGAACGAACGATACAGATTTTATGACCTGGTGTTAAATAAATGATGTTTGAATTCGATTTTCTAACATGTGGCAACTCCTTTCATGGAACGCTATGTTGCACACCCGAAGGTCGAGGCATTTCATGTGACACCTCATTTTTGAAAACCGAACGACCGATACAGATGTTATGACTTGGTGTTAAATATTTAACGCAACCATCTCCGAACTCGTGTAAGAAGTTTCACTTCAATAATCTCTTAGCAGTAATTGATGTTATATTAAATTTTTTGGAAAATGCAGGTGATACGGCCTACTTATGGAAACCGGAAATGGGAAAACTGCGATATTTAAGTAACTAAAGTCGCCAATTTACTCCAACTTTAAAAATACAATAATCTTCCAGCAGTAGATAAGATTATAATAGATTTTTGAAAAATGGGCGTGGCAACGTACATATGTATATAGGTGTATCTCGGTAACCGCTTTAACGACATCGAACAAGCTTGGTACAAGTATTTAATTTAGTTTATTTAACCGAAATTAGACACGTTCTTCATGACCTATGTATACAGGGTGTCCCAGAAGTAACGTGCCAAACTTAAGGGGAAGGTAGGTGGGAGGGTGAGCTCCCTGATAAACAAAAAATTTTCAGGTAAAAGTGTCACCGTTTTTGAAATATTTACATTTTTTCGAATTTAAAAAAAATCGTGCCCTTTCATGTGTTTTCTTTAACTGCAACTACAAACCGGGCAATACTTAGTAAATTTTTTATGTAAAATACTTCCAGATAGTTGCCTCTCCATACTCAAATGCAATGTAGTTAAAATA